AGGACACATTTGTCAAGACATCACTCTCAAGCAACACAGCTAGGCATCTTTTCGTTCACGTGCATTGTCTGCAATTCATATTCTGACAATGAGAGGCAATTTTTTGAACATCTTGGTGGCCATTTAAAAAAATTTGAAACAGTGCCCTGTGTATTTGAGGGGTGTGCTTACAAAACCAATATATATGCATCATTCCACAGCCACAAAAGTAGAAAACATAACCCACACTCAGTGGAAGATTTCAAAACCACTGTTCTTCACCAATACCCAAAGAATAAGGATGAAGAAGTGGATCTTGTTGAGGATGTTGAAGATGACTTTGGCTCTGTCCTGGAAGTGGAGGAGGATTTGAACAAGATCATCACTGACAGAGTGGGGTTGCTTCTCTTGAAAATGGACAGCATTTTCAATGTCTCCAATTCCTGTATCGACCAGCTCATAGAGGAGCTTCAATTCCTTACAGCGTCTGCATCTGCCCCTGTCATTAAAGACATAATCCTGAGCACTTTGAGAAAACATGATTGTATGATTGAAGACTCAGTAATGACAGAAATTGTCAAAGACCTTTGCCAGCGAAGCCCTGTCTCTGCTGCTTTACGAGTGGATGGGCCCTTAAGCAGCAAGTTTAGAAGAGAGCAATTTCGAAAGGATCATTTATCATCTGTTGAGCCAGTTGAATACATACTTGACAGTAGAGAGAAAAAATCATTACAATATGTTCCGATCCTTCCTTTATTGTCTCAACTTTTGGACAAAAAACACATTCGAAATGCCATATTACAACACAAAAAGCCGTCTGAAGTCTCTTCCGCATACAAATCATTTAATGATGGGTCTTTACTGAAAGAGAATGCCTTTTTATGTGAAGATGAACTTAAACTGCCACTCATCCTTTATATAGATGACTTTGAGGTGTGCAACCCTCTGGGAACATCCCGCAAGAAACATAAAGTCACTGCTGTGTACTGGGTGTTTGCAGACATACCTGCCACATTGAGATCTACACTGACTTCCATTTACTTGAACATCTTGTGCAAGGCTAATGACGTCAAACAGTTTGGCTATGCAAAAGTTTTGGACCCACTGCTCAAAGATTTGAAGTCCTTTGAAGATGATGGCATTTTTGTTCAAAGCATGGGTAAAGTTGTCAAGGGCACTATACTTGCTGTTGTCGCCGACAACCTTGGAGCTCACTCAATAGGTGGGTTTGTGGAAAGCTTTTCAGGTTCACATTTCTGTCGGTTATGCACTGGAGAACGGTCACAGATCCAGAAGCACGAAGTAGCAGAAGGACTGTTTCCACCACGGACCAAGTCCAACTATGCCATGCATGTCAAAGCAGCACTGTCTGATCCCACAGGAGGTCATCACTGTGGCGTTAAAAGACAGTGTCCCATCTCAGGCAAACTCAGTCACTTTCATGTTACATCAGGTTATCCCGTAGATCCTTTGCATGATTTGCTTGAAGGGATTGTGCCTGTGGAAATATCACTTTGTCTTGACGTGTTTATCAGAAAGAAGTACTTCTCCCTTCAGGAACTAACCATTCCATCCGTTCCTTTCCGTATAAATGGAGTGATAAGGCAAACAGTCCACAACCCATTGCCCCAAACTTCACATCACGAAAAAGTGTAGGAGGTAATGCACATGAAAACTGGTGCTTGTTGAGAATGATGCCTCTCATGATTGGGGACAAAGTACCAGAAGATGATCCTGCGTGGGAGGTTTTGATGACCCTAAGAGATGTTGTTGAGCTTGTCATGGCTCCTCTCCACACAGATGAGTCAATAGGATACATGGAAAGTAAGATTTCAGAACACCGTTACAGATTTTTGAAAGTGTTTCCAGAGGAGAAAGTGAGACCAAAACATCACTTTCTAGAGCACTATCCTTGGCTTACAACGGTTTACGGGCCACTGGTACATTTCTGGACCATGAGGTTTGAAGCCAAACATCGATTCTTTAAAAGGATTGTGAGGCAGACTGGATGTTTTAGAAACATTCTCATGACAATGGCAAAAAAACACCAAGCAATGATTGCATATCATACCCACGACTGCAACAACCAAAGGCCAGCACTGTCACTGTCCAAGAAGACTGATATACCAGTCGATCTGTTAAAAGACAGCATTAGGGAGTCCTTTGCTAGGAAGTTCCCTGGGGAAGACCTTGTGACCATGACAAATAAAGCCACCATTTTAGGCACAGACTACAATGTTGGAATGCTGCTGCCGTTTGGCTCAACAGGAGGCCTACCTGACTTTGGAGAAATCCAGCAAATAATCGTTGTGAAGGAAACTCCTGTTTTTGTTTTGAAGTTGCTTAGTGGCTGGTATTGTGAACACCTGAGAAGCTTCAGACTGGAGCCAACAGGAGAGACAGAAATCATGAAACATTCTGAATTGAAAGAAACATACCCCTTGGCTGCATATAATACAGCAGATGGATGTGTGGTGTCCCTTAAGCACTTCATTTGCACATCAGAGTAAGTGTAATGGGTTTATTATTTCATATCAAAGTTATGTGCTTACCAATAGGGATAGGGCATATATTTTTTTGGACGTGGACGATATGCTTTTATTGATTAGGGCTGGGACGATACCTTTGTCACGATCCAATACTTGTGTGGCGATCTGATAGTATTAAGAAACTTAAATATTATAAAGATTAACCTTAAGATATGTATTAAAAAAGGAATGTTTCCAAAGTTTTAACTTAAATGCCATTTGACATTTAGTGTGTCACAATTGAAAAGTGCATTAACTGTTCCAGAGACTCCTCATTTACACTGAATCAGTCACATTTTTAGAGCGTTTTCCACATAGCCACATAATGTACTGTAGTTTACAGAGTCTACGTTTAGAATACTATTTTATGAAGTATTGGTGGCTTACTTCTTAGTGAAAACAAACACTGTAGGAGTATATTTTTAATCTCTAGATATTTACCCCATGTAAAGGAAATGTGTGTTTCTGCATCTACAAGCTGCATATGAGGCCGCTGAGAGTAGGTCTTGCTCCTTTCTCTTCACTTGCATCTCGGCTCATCCACCTCCGTCTCCTTTCCTTGTCTCTTTTGTCTGCTCTCCGCTCATCTCCTACTTGGAAAGGCGCTGATCAACACATTGTCTTGTATCAGCGCGTAGAAGAAAAGGCTACTCCGGTCCCTGATGTTTACATTTGTTTTAGTACGTTTGCAAGTGATAAAGTTTTAAAAGCTGTGGCAAGCGCTGGGTCTCGGTCCATGATTACTGTGGAGACCCCCTTGGATTTCCCTTTATTATTTTCAGCTTCACGTATGAGAGGCGTTACAACTTCTACACACTATCCGGCAGCACATTGACGTTATGACCAGTGTAACGCTATCAAAAGTCTGACCGGAAACAAGAAAAAAAGGTTCCGCCTTGATGTTAAAGGGTTCAGGATTGTATAAATTGGACCTCATTACCTAATGACTTCGAGTGTGAAGTGTTTTTTACACGTTATATCCAGTCCCTAGCTTTGGGGAGCATTGCGATGCGAATGCTAATGGGATTCTATGTAAGTCAACGGTATCTTCCTAACCTTATTCTATCAACACAGATATTCCAAACGTTGCCCTGGCGTTGTGCCATATTTGTCACAAGTCGCTATAGAGCGGCTAAGACTGTTTTTAAAGGCAGTTTAGGAAGTTCCCATTCAATGCAAGTCATTGAACTCTCCACACATTTCTAAACACTCGGGCTCATTAGGAAATGAGGTCCAATTTGTAAAATCCTGAACTATTACTATAAGGTAAAATTAGTTGTGCAGAGGCGGTCTGGATTGCAAGTATTGATACTTGCATGAAGTATCGATACGTGGCATCGGCACAAACAATATCGTGATATCGATATACAATAGTTTTTCACAGTCGTAGTTATTACATTTATCTTATTTTAATGTTTACTCTATCATTCAATTATTTTATTTTTTTTCTGTCTCTACAGTTGAGGAAACCACAAAACCACAATGGCAGTCCATTTAAGGGTCATCTTGGAAGAACACAACATTAAAAAATTGACACTTCCAGAACTTCCTACTACAGTGGAAGAGCTCGTTTCAATCATCACCAAAACATTCCAAGTACCTAGGGAAGTTGCACTGTTATACCAAGATCAAGACTTTGACAATCAGTTTTTCAGTGTCACCTCAACCGCTGACTTGCATGACAAGGCAACTGTTAAAGTGGTCCTTATAGAGCCGACCATCACCCTTGACCTCCACCCAGTGCGTGACTCGGGACCATCATCTACAGTGAGCTCTCCCATTTCAGTGAGCTCCCGTCCTGCAAGTAATCCTGAAGTGGACATCTGCCCTGCAGATGATGAAGGCTCACAGGTGTCTGACTGCGCATCAACAAGTTCCCAGGACACCATTATTCTCCCCAAGTCTTGTCGCCCATCTCCCTGGCCACAACCATTCAAGATTCCAGAGTTTTCCAGAGACATAGAACTAATCCTTGCAGAGGCAAACAAATCCTATCATGCAACTGGAAACCTCTTCATGGAGGCCAGCGTTAAATCAGCAATAATGCAAGACCTTTCAAAAGAAATCTTTTCCTACACTGCTTACCCAACATCTCAACATGTCTATTTAGTGGCTGAAGCCCTGGTTGCCAAATTTCCTTGTCTTAAGGAGCCAGGGTCATTTTCAGGGTTGTATGGCTGGCAACAACGCATAAAAAATAAGATGCACAATTATCGTGCCAAGTTAAAGTCTCGAAAATATTCTTACCCAGAAATAGAAATCAACGCATTAACGGGGATGCGTACAGCTGAAGCAGGCCCATCAAAAAATGTGAAAAAACCCAAAAAAGCTGAGGTTAATTACCTCCCCCCGCACCCTGTTGGAGAAAACCAAGAGACACTGGATAAAGAGAGGCTTGAATTACTCGACGAAGTGAAAAAGAAAAACAATGCAAAGATAATCACGGATAAAATGACTAAAACCTTCTCAAGCCGAAGAATCGAAGTGGTGACCATGAGCCCCTCCATCAGTGTGTTTAAAGAAAGGTGGCCAGCGTTATTCACTGAGGCTCAGGTGAGACTGTCTGATCATGCAAACATTCATGTGATTACTTTGAGATCTGGTCCATTTAAAATGTGTGGTTGTTTTTTTGTCCTTTTACTCCCCCCTAGATTAAGGATGAGTTCAGACGTATAACAACAGTGTCCTTGGAGGAGACTTTCATGCGGAAACTTGATGAGTACACACCACGTCTTTTGAAGCTTATGCAGGCTAGAGGTGGAGTTGCTGGTCAGAAGATGCGCCATCAGCTGTATACTGTAAATGATGTAAGAAGTTTTATTTATATGTAATTAAATTGTAAAACAATGGTTTTGCTCTTCACAATGCTTACTAACATTATTTGAATTGAAAACTTTTAAGGAGATTTGGTCTTGTGCATGCAAATCAGTTACACTGTCTTTTCTAAATTCTGTCTCCCTGCAGACACAAAGCATTGAGAAGAAAAGGGATACAGTTGTCTGCTGCCTCATTAACTACCTCGGTGAAAAGGAAGAAGATCTTTTCCATGACTGCCAGGTATGTCTTCCGCTCCTCAGCTCTGGTCCTCAGCTCTGCTCCTCTGCTGCTCTGCTCCTCTCCTCAGCTTTGCTCCTCATTTCTGCTCTGCTCCTCAGCTCTGCTCTGAGTTGGCTTCTGCCTTTTATGATGACTTCTTACTGTCTTTGGATGCCGTTACATCCTTTAATTTCCACCACAAACTTAATAGCCTCTTTAAAAGAAAAAAAATACTTAAATCGGTATGTTTTTTTTTTTTACATGCAGGAATGTGAGGGCTACTCAGAGCAAACGATGAAGGTGTTGGTGATGCACGATGCCATGGCTGAAGAGGATCCATCGGATGTGTTCATTGTGATTGAGGGGAACAAAGTAATGGAAGGATGTGGAAGCCTTACCAAGGCATGTGTACTGCTGATGGGACTGATCTATGCTCTCAACCTTGAATATCCAAAGCAACTGAAGAACACCTTTGAAGCTTTTCAAAAGCTTTTTTTGGAACTTGATGGTGAAAAACTACTGAAGAAAGTCCACAGCCTCAAAAGTAAGCTCATGCAATAGACACATTTTTTTTCTTGTTCCAAGAGGACGTTTTGTCCGGAGTTGAGATGGTTTGGTTATTTGTTCCAGTTGGACTGTAGATGTGGTTTGTCACAGTTGTGTGAAACTGAACACAAAACTTTGGATACAAGAACATTTCCAAGTGATTCTCTCTGATCTCCTCACTTTTTCTTATTGAGCAACTTGGGTGAACAAAAAAAGGACTATTTTAGAATTTGGGATGTTGGGCCTCATTTCTTAACTAGATTGCAGGATGTGATTGACTGCGGAATTGCTGACGCAAATCGCAATATGCAGACATGACAATATGCAGAAATTGCACTTGCAGAAAGGATGGTTCAATTCTTTAACATTTTATTTAAAAGAGAAATTTTATTTAACTGTTCAGAAAAATGTCTAAATTTTTTTGGTATTAAAAACATTTAAATAATATGAAGGCCTCTTATTTTTTTAAAGGGGGTAATATCTGGCCCTATCTGAATATGTAATGGTGAGAAACTGATATTGGTTAATTTGTATTAGTAATGGACCATTTCTGCATTACCTTGGTTGCCATGGTTTTCATACAGATGTGTCAGTTTCAGAACCAGTAAGGGGGGACAGTTTTAAGTACTTTTGCTGTTAACAATGTGCATAACTGTAAGGAAAAGGAATATACAGCACCAAATCTTGACTCACTTTCATAGGACAGAACAGTACTTAAATGTGAGTTTAGTTTTGGTGCTGTATATTCCTTTCCTTTAGTTATTCACATTGTTCCCTGTAAAAAATGCTTAAACTGTCCCCCCTTCCTGGTTCTGAAATTGACATATCTGTATGAAAATCATGCCAATCAAGGTAATGCAGAAATGGTCTAACTATTTGTTATTATTGGGTATTATCTACTAGTGATTATTGGGTATTATCTACTGGTGAATATTGGGTATTATCTACTGGTGAATATTGGGTATTATCTACTGGTGAATATTGGGTATTATCTACTGGTGAATATTGGGTATTATCTACTGGTGAATATTGGGTATTATCTACAAGAAATTAAGAGGTAATTCTACCAAATTTATTTAAGGAATTAAAGTTTTATATTTCAGGTATTTTATACTCCATAAATGAATTAAATCTACCCAAAAAAAGTAGATGCAAATTGTTACCTCAGATTTATTGGGTAAATTCTATAGGTTACTTTTTTCAGTGCACACATTTTTATATATTTACAGTAATACATTAAAAATAATGCTGGATTTGATTTTCTCTTTTAGCTATATGGTATAATTCATTATAGAGGACAAACACAATACAACAATACAGACATTTTTTTGTAGTATACAATCAATTATATTTGCCACTTATACTGCAAAAATTATTTCGGTCTGAAATCGAAAAAAATATCCAATTTATATTATATACATTTACTTTTATGTAATATTTCATTTGAACCCAATTCTGTAAATGGAAAAAGAAATGGAAAAAGCAATATCGTGTTCATGATCTGCAAATCTGTCTTTAAATCCAGTTTAATCACTTATTATTCCAGCACTATCTCGTACTGTAAAATTAGGCCATTTGTGTATATAGCAAATATAGTGGTAATTTTAAGAAATGTTAAGCAGACTTTTTATTCAAGCCTTAGTCTATTTTAAATTGTAAGACCTGTTTGCACCGAGAGCCAGGCCTTTTTTGTGACTCCATATTTGGCAATAAGAGAACTCTGATTCTGAATACAAAAAATGTAATAAATGTTTTCTTTCCATTCAGATTTTTCTTTCTTTTTTCTTCTGAGCAGAAAATAAATTCCTCCTCCAGCTGTAATTATGTCCAATGCAAGTCACTGCAGGCTCATAAAGGACTGATAAACAGTGTAGTAAAAGTGTCTTTGCTTTTCTGTGGTTTTTGGTCGAGCACAAACGCGCGCACACGCCATAAGAAGTTGGAGTATATATCTACGTGCGCGCGCTCTCTCCATTAGCGCGAGGCTGTAATTAAAGGCGCTGCTGATGAAGCAGTCAGACGGGTCGGACGGGCGGCATCCCTCCGGGGGAAGGCCTCTGTGAACTGTCACTCACGCACTGCACGCAGCGGTTCAGCAGAGAGTGAGAGCTGCATGCGCACGCTCCAAAACCTGTTACAAATCTCTGCTTCACGATCGGAATCAAGAAGGAAAACCACGCACTGGAAAAACAGTACAAATAAAACAGTTTTGTCTGTCTGTGTGTTTATTTTTTATTTTTTAATTGGACCTTTTCAATTGAGTCTGTAATCTAGACTATAGTTTTTTTCTAGATCTCATGTCTGTAATAAAGTTTAATAATAATAATAATAATAATAATAATAATAATAAAGTTGACTTGAGTTGAATGGAATTGAATATCAAATAAAATGAATTAATATTTATAATCACTATTGTTCCACTATAAGTTCCCCACTCTTGTTCACCACAGTCAAGAATTCACTTCAGTTAAATTAGAAAATATTTAAGTATATTTCAGCATTTTGTATAGGCCTGTATTTTGTGTGTGTAAACATATAAATACCCTCATACCAATTTTGTGTTAATCTGGTGTGAGTAAAATGTCTCTCCTGTGCAGAATAAATGCAGATCTCGATTTCAATGAAAATACCTGGAGAAATGATGTCTGAGTTGAAGACAAGATTGTCTTTATTCCAAATGTCTTCGCTTGCGGCTGAACAAAGAACCAAATGTATCAACCTTCTAAATACATTTGTTTGCATTTTCCATAACATGACAGCGTTTGAATTCCCATCTCAGATAGAAAATACACATCCTCAAATAGAAGTTATCTTCAAAACAGAAAAATGGCGCGTGGGACTGTTTTAGCACTGGATCACATGTAAACAAAATGTGGGATGAGGTGCTGTCTTTTCATAAATAGTGGCATTTTTGAAGAATTAAATATAGAAATAAAAACCCGTATAGAATCCAGCCTTTTCTGATTCCGAGCAGAAATAGTACCAAATGTATAGACTATAGCATCTGGCCTATACAGGGGAGAAGACGCTCTTATTTGCGAATTCTCGTTCCAAATCCTATAATAAACACAGCATAATCAGCGTTGAAATGTACACAATAAATAAAGTTAAAGGCCTCCCTTTTCTGGTTGCCATAAACGTTATAACATTTACATTTCTTACAGTTCACAGGCAAGGACCGAAGCAGGAGACGCTCCAACTGCGCAACGCGGGAACTTGTGGATCTCGCTGCAAAAGTTTAAGTCTATTTGTCCACGCGGTTCCACAGTCCACGCCATTGTCTGCGGTCTATTTACATGCATTAAGGAGTCAGTAAAAACAAGGGGTTACATGGCAGTGGCGTGCGCGGAAGAGTATGGGTCTATCCCAGCCTTGGTCATACCTGGAAAGAGTATGTAGGCCACCGGGGGCTGTAAACTTGAGGCAGACCATGCGGTACAGTTACATGGCACCACGTAGCCCGGGTTGGTGGGAGACGGGTGGGTGTGGGTGTGTTGGCTGGGGCACCCTAGGGTCCCAAAAGCGCCGTTCTGGTATCCCAAGGAGGACGCGTATGGCAAAGTGCTGGTGCTCAACGTGTGCGGCATCTCTGTCATCTTCTGGATCGCGCTGGAGCTGAACTGGCTCGGGTCTAAAAAGGAGTAGGGCGCAGAGGTGGGCGGCAGGAAGGCACGGGCTTTCTCCGAGGCGCTGAGCAGAGAGTCAGCCGTGGACATGGGCAGACCCTTCAGGTGCTCCGTGTCTCCCAGATAGGGCAAAGGAAAGACGTAGCGGTCCTTCTTGAGCAGATTTTTAGGCTTACGTCTGGGTCTGTACTTATAGTCTGGGTGCTCCTTCATGTGTTGCGCTCGCAGCCGCTTGGCCTCATCGATGTACGGTCTCTTCTCTGACTCGGATAACAACTTCCACTCCGCGCCCAGGCGTTTGCTGATCTCAGAGTTGTGCATTTTGGGGTTCTCTTGGGCCATTTTCCGCCTCTGACCCCGCGACCAGACCATGAAGGCGTTCATGGGTCTCTTGATGTGATCAGCCGGCTTTGACATGACTAAACAGTGCGAGCCAAGCAAAGCAAAAGTTCTTATCGCGGGACAAAAAAGAGGAGAGGAGAGAAGGAAAAGAGAAGGGGACGCTGTTCACCTGTCCAGATGCCAGATACCAGTCATGCCCGTGTGAGATGTGACAGAGCGGGGAGCTGCAAACAAGAAAAGCAAGAAAAATCCACTTTTGTCTCGACTTTCCTGCGCGTCTTGAAGTCCTCTCAAAGCCGTGCGTAAAACTCACTGGGTGTCACTGAGTGGAGAAAACAGAAGCAGGAGCAGATGCGTAAAAATCCACAAAGGTGAAAGCAATGTTCCACAGTCAGTTGCTTGTAAAAGTGTTCCGCGTTTGTTTTTTCTTTTTTCTTTTCTTTCTCTTTACCCTCCCCTGTCTCTCTCTCACACACACTCTGCCTCTTCTCTCGGAAGGGTTGTCGTCAAGCACCTGGCTCGGAAATGAGCGGAAGAGCGTGAATACGAGCCAAAAGCGGTGAAGTTCAAAGGCTGGGCTGGTCTGGTTTCTGCACGCAATCTGACATAATCTGCAGGGCGTTCTCTCACCAACCTGAGCGCCCAATCAGCACGAGGAGCGCCTATTAGAATACCTTCATGAAACAAAGCGGCAACGAAGCAAAAAAGGGGGCGATGGGAGTGCGCGTACGTGTGTGAGAGCGCGTGCATGTGTGTGTGTGTGTGTTCAGTGGGGTAATGCTCACAATCCCACCGAGTCTGTTTAATGTAATGATTCCTCCAAACACGCGGACCTCCAAAAGTGACTGGACCGTGCAGCCAATTCACAGAGATGGAATGCCACACATTTTTTTACAGCCAAAAATGCAACTTTATATTGAAACATTTCTTATTTTTTTATTTGTATTTTTTTCATAATGTATTACTACAAATCCAAAACACATAGATTAATACATGGGTGTTTATAGTAACATTATATATTCATGGACACATAGATTAAACCACGGAACACTATAGTTTTCATTTGCACATTTATCTCAGAATACACTTTATTCTAAGATAAATGTGTAAGTAATTCAGAAATGTTCAACAATTAATTTGCATCGCTATTTACAACCAAAACCACAATATAATAAACATATTTTTGCATATTTAAGAATTTCATACTTGAATAATATTTGGATTCATATCTTGCATGCACTCGGGGTCCCTGCCATTTCCCTATAATATCTCAACTGCTTAAGCTGTAGAAACACTCTTTGTTTGAATGCAAAACACACAGCAGCTAAAATGTATAACTTTTTCAGCATAGAACAAAAAACAACAGATATAATTTATCGTGGTCCTAATTTTAGGGCGTGCTTTTGTTCTATTTTGATGGAGAATTTAACTTTTAGACTTCCAACAACGACTGGATTTTCCACAATAATGGCCTTATCTATATATCTTAGATCTCTTATTGCTTTATTTTAAATACCACAGTAAGACAATTGAACACACACACATAGAGAGAGACACGCACACACACAAAACCATGATGCATTTTGAAGTGTATAGAGGCTGCAGAAACAGAGAGGTTATAGCTGCTAATTGTAGTATTAGCAAAGTCCCGAGCAGCAATGTGGTTTGAAGGCTGCGCGGACTGATGCGTTTAATATGCTAATTTAAAGAGGGCCAGAGCGTAATCGCCCTCAGGCTAATGTTCGTGATATATGATTCTCTCTGCGGTGATTATTAAAGCAAACGCACTCAGCTTGCATTTCCATAGCGCTCCGTCAACACGCAGGGAGGGCACAGTTGTTATATACTGAGTCGGATATGGTTATAGTTACACTGACTGTATACGTGAGACATATTTATTTATATATATATGTGTGTACGAGCGCGCGTGGGGGAAAAGTTTGTCTGCATGGAACACACGCACACACACACACACAGAAAGACAATACGGATGCTGGAGACCACATCCTGTATTTACACCTCATTATATTGTATGGTGCATGGATTGGAACACACAAATTATAATTAAATAATTGCAAATAACGTGGATGTAATCTCATTTCAAATACAGCTGCCGCACAGGTATTTGCATCCAACTTTTAATCCAACTTTAATTGAAAGCTGGCTAGAGCTGAAATATTTTAAGACTCAAGTAGTGTTATAATACTTCTTTAAAAAAAACACAAAAAATAAATATACTTTTGGTTTCATTTGTGTTTGGATTGCGCGACATAGAAAGACACTTCCCTTGCCTCATGCAAACTTTGTTAATTATATCCGTTATTATTGCTATTGGGATTAAGGTTGTGGAGGCATGCTTTGTACAGCACCTATATGCTCAAATCGCATAGTTTTAAGACAGGCTGATATTGAGCAGAATTGGCAAAGTTATAGAAAGTACAGCCACACACAAACATATCGTGTGAGGTAATGCAGCCAATAAAAGTAATTGATGATGTAGGCCTGAAGACTACAGCTTGTGTGTTACTACAATAGCGTTTCCATATGCTCTATAGCCCACGCTGGGTCTCCTTCACACGCGCTCTCTCTCTCTTCTCCCTTTCCCTCCCACATCTCCGTCTGCCCCCAAACATGACATCATCACACATCCATATCCACACCTGTCACTCCTCACCCCTACACTATCATTTCATCCTTTTTTCTGTCCTTTTTTGCCTCAAGAAAGCAGCAACATTTCCACCAAAGTTAATTAAAACAACACAAATCAGAAATAAACGCGAAGATACGATTAGATCACATGTGCAAACTTGAAACTGTAATAGATAATTGTGTCCTTGCTGCTAAATGGCATGTAGGCCTCCAGGTAATGAGCGCCACTAAATACCAACTGTGCTGATTAGAGATGATGAATTAAAACTGGAAGTGTTTTCAAATTTTTTCAGATTTTTCCTATGGCTCTGTTCATCCACTCATTACATCTGAAACAGCCTGCAGTCATGTTTCATCACTGGGAATTAAAAATCTGAGAGAAAGCATGTGTGAAACAATTTAGACTACACTTTCAAAATAGGAGGATTACATACGGTTCAAAATCAGACAATTTAAATCACATTTCAACACATTTTACATTATTTACATTTTCTTTGGAATGCTCCTGAACCACTTTCCAATGTGATTGCCATTATTCAAAATATTTGTTTATGTTTGATGTGTCACAAATAATGAAGTACTGCATGACTTTCTTGCTGTGTCCCATTATTAGAGCTGGGAGAGAAGTGAGGAGAATACTTCCAACCATCCATTTTCTACCCCTTTATCTATTTCTGGGTCGGGGGGGGTGGCAGTCAGTGATGCCACCCAAGTCACATAGCACCAGCCCCTCACGGATCCTCTGCAGGTGGTGAGTCCACAGGAGGACAGCTGGTCTGTCAGTGAGAGCACAGCCTTGATCTTTCAGTGGGGGCTTCAGTGTCTTGCCCAAGGACACAACAACAGCAGACATGGGAGTCGGTGGAGAGGGTCTTGCGGTGGGCTCAAACCCACAACCCTCAGGCTCACTTGCCAATGCTCTACCAACTGAGCCACTGTCACCCTCTTGCTGGGAAGAATACTTTACAAATGTATTAAGCAAATGCATCTATAACCTAATCCATGACGTGGTCCGACTCAAAGTTATAGTTTAAAAACAGAACGTGATTACTTCACTGGAGAGTGACACTGTTATGCATGTTTGTTATGGTTCATTAAAAAAGTACCACTTTTCTTTTGACGGAACTTTTTTAAAAGTACTGTCAAAAGACCATGATGCATTTTTTAGATTTGCATTTTTTATGTAGTCACAGCAATCTTAAGACCATTTACTGTATTCTGAATCATGACTCAAAATGAGTGTCCTACGCACACATTCCAAAAAATGAATTTAGTTGGAATTTTTTGACTTTATTTATCAAGGATATGTCTTTTTTACCGTGTTTCAATATCTCTTTATAAAATTTCTGATTTTGTCTTTGGTTTCTCCCCAGCACTGCTCACGGCACACATTTTGATTAATGTAGTGAGTTTGAGTTTAGATAAATTTGTATTTAATGTTTTTATTCCTAAAATACCTCATATATTGCGTTTTTTGTAGTTTTACAGTCCTTACAGAAGAAGGAGGGTCCAATGTCTACCTGTTTTCAGATCTTCATAAGATACAGACATGCCAAAGGTGACACATTCCAGGAAAACCAATCTTCAACATATCTATGCTGACCGGCAGAGCACCAGTGGTTAGTGGTTCTTTCTGGACCATTTTTTGAATATGGAGACAAAGCCAGAGTAAATATACATATTGTGATTCAAACTGCCAACCTTCCAGTCAAAGGTCACTCTTAACAAATCCCCAGAGCCAATAGACCAGTATGTATACAGGTTCTACGACCAATTCAGTGCTGCTAGCAAACATATAAACAGCTTTTATGACTTCTTGTTGCCTTTTAACCTCTTTCTCAGTTTCTAAGGAGCGTGTGGACCCAAGAGCATAGTGTGAGTGCCTCCGATCTGAGAAGAATTCAAAGCTGCAATGCACAATCAATATTCCACACAGAGACTTATGATGGCTGTGAATTATAGGCATCCATCAGGCCTCTTTTGTGGCCTTTCTGTGTGTTTTGTTTGCCAACGCCGGCATGTTGAATGATGGCGCGTCCTTTCGCAGACAAGCAGCTGCTCACAAACTCCGGCTTAGACAAAAGTCCATACAGTTGCAGAAGAAAAACTCAAAACGGAAAGAATATCACTTTGAAAACTAGATGTACAATTCTATGCCCGAGACGGATGATTAATTAATTTTGCTGAATGATCTGTCCTAGCCTTGTGAGATATGAGTTCCCATTACTTTAACACTTTTATAGAGGATCTCCAGAGAGCAGCAGTTCAAAAGACAGTTCAATTTGGAGGTGCCATTGGAAATAGCTTTGCCATATATTGTGGGGCTTTGATGTGTGCTAACTGCCCCAATC